ATGTGTGTGTATTTATTTATCTACTATTTCTTGAATCATTACTGTCAGTCCAAAACAAGAGATTTTGTTTTGGTAACATTTAAAAAAAAAAAAAACATTATCTCTTTTCCACTACACTATCTTGAATACTTTAGTTTTTACGTCACTACATTTATCTAACAGCTTTAACATTGTAAAGGTGTTACTTTGGACTCTGGGTAATTATGACCGCATGTCCTACTCAGAGCCCTAGAGTCTCTCGGGCTCTGGTCCTACTAGTTTGAGACTTTGAACAAACCAGACCTTCATCTATTAATGTAGAAAATAGTCGGCACATTACACCATTATGAAAGTAATAATTAGTTAGCTCATTGTTCAAATGAGCTCCAACTACAACAGTTAAGTCAACTCGTGCATCGGTAATAACAATAAATCAAATGATATAATATAATAGAATAACTTGTGTCTACTTTAAATACTCTAACAACACTTGTTGCTAATTATACTAGCATACTTTTACTAAAGTAACATTAACATGTTTAAATGCAGGGCTTTTGTAAGAGAGTATTTCGTATAGTGTAGCATGGTCTACTTGACTTATCTAACCGAAGTGATCGTTACGTTACTTTGCAAACCGTCCCCCCCCCCCCCCCCCCCCCTGTGGTTCTCCCTGGCCCGGTGGGACAATCCGCCCTTGGGGGTGGATGCATTTGCACACGAGCCATGGCCAAGGAAGCTGCTTTACCCCTTTCCACCGCTGCACCTTATCCCCCCCCCCCTTCTGGATAGGGTGAGGCGGGAGCAGCTGTCAGTCATCCTAGTGGCCCCAGATTGCCGCCTGGCGCCGTGGTACGCGGGGTAACACAGATGATGGTGGGCCAGCCCTGGGCTATTCCTCAGGTCTGGGGAGCGCTGTCTCAGGAAGCAGGGGCAATAGGGGCGTTACCCACTCTGGGCCAACCTCTCCAGGCTTGGCTCCTGAGAGGGACAGGCTGAGACAGGTGGGGCTGTCTGACAACGTTATTCAGACTATCCAAGCAGCAGGAGCAGAATCCACCACAGCCTGTTACAGGCCAAAGTGGGCGGGATTCCGGCGATGGTGTGAAGGAAGGAGTCTCGAGCCTCTGTCATGCACGCTGGGCTCTATTCTTACCTACTTACAGATACTGGTGGACAGGGGGCTGGCTCATTCCACAATTAAGGTGTATGCAGCAGCCATTTCGTCCTGCCATGAGGGATTTGGAGGCAGGTCAGCCTTCAGTCAGCCGCTTATGTCGCGGTTTTTGCAGGGGGTCAGGAGGCAGCACCCAGTAGTGCACGCCTCCGCCCCACAGTGGGACCTGCCGTTGGTGCTCGAGGCTCTGGTCACAGAACCAGTTGAGCCTCTGGAGCTCTCCTCCCTGAAAGCACTGTCATTGAAAACAGCTTTGCTGCTTGCCTTGACTTCGGCCAAAAGAGTGTCTGAGCTGACCGCTCTGTCGGTGCACCCAAGCTGCCTTTTGATCCGGGGTGACCGTAGCGGGGCGACACCCAGACCGAACCCCTCCTTTACTCCTAAGAGCCTAAGGAGTTCGTTCAGGACAAGGGCTATTCAGTTAGGTGGCTTTAATCTTCCACCCCATATTGAGGCTAGGGAGGCTAAATTGCACCTCCTCTGCCCAGTGCGTGCGCTAGCATGTTATGTAGAGCGCATGGCTGCCATTAGACGCACTGAACAGCTGTTTGTGTGCTTTGGGGATGGTGTGGCTAGAAAAGCTCTCTCCAAGAAGCGCCTAACAGGATAGCTATGCGGGTGCATTACACATGCCTATGGACGGGCGGGGAGAGCCCTCCCCACTGGGGTCCGTGCGCATTCTACACGGGCTGTGTCAAACAGCCTTATTCAGCAGCGTGAGTGTAGAAGATATATGCACGTCGGCGTCTTGGTCTACGCCAGGCTCATTCATAAAATGTTATCTCCTGGACATGTCTGGCTCCTTCTCGTCGTATGTGCTTGCCGAGGCAATGCATGACTGGTGAGTAGGGATGGGTATCGTTTGAAATGTATCGATTCCGATTTCGATTCCGGTTCTGCTTATCGATTCCGGTTCTTATCGATTCCCCGTTTCGATTCCAAAATTGTAAAATAAAGAGGTCAAACGTTTAGATAACAAACATATATTTATTCTTAAAAGCTTTAACTGAAATTGTTACTAAAAAATATACATGCAATACAAATGTATTGCACAATAGCTGTGCTTTATTTTAACTGAGCTATGCCTGTGGCAAGCTATTAACAGGCATTACACTTTGCCTTTTCTTTTTCTTTTTTAGTGTAGTGGAGCCTCACTTCAGAGTGTTTACCGCGACCTATCTTTGGTGTTATGAAGTGACTGAGCTCGTGAAATGTCTACAGGAGGGCGGGGGAGCATCGCTGCGGGGCAACTGTGGACCTCTGTCGCCTGTCAGCGCAATTTATATGATGCCGTTTAAAAAAATGAAGGGCGGTGCCGGCCGTCAGCGTACCGAGCCGGCCGTCAACGGCCCGCTGACGACCGGCCGTTCTGTGATTCTCCAGGTCCGCCCTGTATTCCACCGGGTCACCGCAGCACCGCGGTGCAGACGGACCCGCTGGAATACAGGGTCTACCGCGTTTAGGAACCGTTAAGCAGAACCGAAATTGTGTATTTTGTATGGGTACCCGGTACCCGGCATTTTCTTATCGGTTCTCATCTGGAACCGAGTTTCGGTTCCCAACCCTACTGGTGAGAGGGGGGGTGGCTGTGGGTCAGCAGGTGTCTGACCCCCCCCCCCCCCCTGGACATAAAGCACTTGTGTTTTCCCATGCTCCTGAGGGACTCGGGAGACATGGTGCACAATCAGCCCCATACAGGGCTGGAGGCAGGCTGGGAGAGCCTTCCTCACTATTGTCCATGCCCACTCTACACGGAGCGTGTGTGAGTGTGGGGGACGTGGTGCACTTATGTTTTCCCATGCTCCTGAGGGACCTGGGGAACATGGTGCGCGGTAGGCTCCAGACGGAGTCTCCGCACAGATCTTTTCCATGCACACTCTACACGAGGTAAGCGTGTGTGAGTGTGCCTTATCCAAATTGCGGCCCCAACTTCTCTACGGTTACAACCGGATGGGAGGAAGTGGGGATACAATGGATGTTAGCCAAAAGCCGGTCAGGGACGGTGTGGTGGGTCGATGTTGTTGGATGACAGGGCGTGTATACATATAAGCCTGTGTGAAATATAACAGGGGGTTACGTATTGTAACCCTAGTTATATAAGCACAGGCGGAGCCCTCTACCTGGGGGCCCTGTCTTTCCTAGTCCGCTCGCTGAAGAGTGTATAGGATAGTGAGCGGCGGGTGTAGCCGCATTTATATACTGTGGGCCTGCGCGCGCATTCAGGTAGGCTCGCCCCGATTGGCCGGCTACGTTTACGAAAACTCAGTAGGTGAAAGCACGCACAGCATGATAGAGAGTAGTACCCATAGAGTCCAGGAGAGGGCTCCGCCTGTGCTTATATAACTAGGGTTACAATACGTAACCCCCTGTTTCTTCTTGGTGTACTCTACCATATGTATAAAGATGTCTCTGTTAATGACAGTTGCTTTTGTACAGTGTGTCCTATGTGGAACAGGAATGATTAAACAGTAGTATGTGTAAAACCAGGGAATTTCAGATATTCTTGTCAAACACAACATCCACAGCAGATATAATGTGTTCAGATGGGACAGTTGTTATGTCTTTATTAGTCACTGAGCACACATCTACTGTAATTACTGTCCTTAACGCGCAGGTTAACAGCAGGAAACATGAGACCATATTTCCTGCTTAGTTCATTAACCCAACAAAATGAAGGCGACAACATTTAGTAAATCCAAGCAAAGCACACCTACACCTAACCCATGGAAGTTAAAGCGTGAAACAACCATAATTGTAATAATTAAAGTGGCCTTATTATGTTCTTTTTCAGGTTCATATTAGTATTTAGTGTCTCTACTGTGAAATGTTTACACGCTTTAATGTTCAAAAAGCTCTTTATTTTTCTCATACTGCCTGTGCTGCAGCACCTCTTTTCACCCTCTGTCTGAAACCAGAGCCCAGACTGCTCTGATTGGTTAGCTGAAAAGCTCTGTTGTGATTGGTCAACCATTAGAGATGTCCCGGCCCTTAGCCTATAACGTACAACGTGTTGGAGCGCTAGCCAATAGAAGCACGAGTGTTACATATTGATATCATTATGTAACGGAAGTAAACAAAGGAGTCCAATGGAGGCGTTTCATTTGAGATTTATTTACATGCACAAAAAACGATATAACACCCTACAGGAAATGGAAAATTCCAAATAGTATAATAGGGCTTCTTCAACAGATGCTATGCCTTTTTACTATTCCATAAATATGTAATAGTTTCCTAAGTAAAGAATGTCCTCTATTCATTGTACATTTGTCCTAACTGGAGACCTGACCCGCTGAATACTAACTTAACAACTTTAAAAGCATTTATCTGGAGAATTTGGAGTTGATTAATTGGAAGGGTGGGATAACCAATTCAACACTTTTCCACATAGTTCAACTAAAATACATAGTTATTTTTAGAAACGTATTTGTTTGTTTTTCAAGGCAAACCCTATAATAAGTGTACCAACTGGAAACAGGTACAGAAAAGTTGAACTCAATATGTCAGGTTATTATTTGTGTTTGTGGCACAAAGCAGAGAATACTGTCAACTACTTGGTATTAAAGTCAGCATTCACACATGTTAAGACAGAACCAGACGCTACGATACGAAGTGTCAGCTATTCATCAGAAGAGACTTTTGTTCACATGCATTCACATTCCATTCGATATCATGCCCTACGAAAATAAGACATGCTGGGACTGGACATCGGACAACCCACTGGTTGGTCACTGGTCACATTTCCTGTTTAAAATAGTATCGCAGAAATACTTCGTACTGTATGTTCAGTGTATTGTGTTTCTTGTTTTGTTGGTCTTGTCTTTTACTTCTACTACATTTCCATCTTCAGGGGGGTTCTTGATTCCTTATTTCATCATGCTGATTCTGGAGGGTATTCCATTGTTCTACATGGAGCTTGCCATTGGTCAGAAGATGAGTCTCGGTAGCATCGGGGCTTGGACTGCCATCAGCCCTTATTTAGGAGGAGTGGGTAAGTGCTAACCGACTGTACTGTACTGAATCTTCACTGTATCCAGGTTAAGTACTGGGGGCGTGTGGTGCAGTGGTTAGAGCCTTGGTGTTGGGATCAGGGTTCAGGTTCAAACCCCACTGCAGTCAGCATGTCGTTGTGTCCCTGAGACACTTCACCCCAAATTGCTCCTGTGGGGATTGTCCACAGTATTGAGTATGTAAGTCGCTTTGGATAAAAGCATCTAACAAGTAACATGTAATGTTAAGTAGTGATGGGGAAGCACCGGAAAGGAAAACAGCCAGTTGGAATGTCATATTGTACTGTCAGTGAAATTACAATGCTTCTGGGGCTTTTGTAGTTGTAAGGGCTCCGATGTATTCCAATATGGGTTCAACCCTGTTGGACAAACCAAAACTCCGGAAGCTCCTGACTCTTTTGGGCTTAGCTCATGGGACTTGGTTTCTACGTCTTAGAATTTCGACTCCATTGAGTTTTTATTTGTATAAATCTTTGCCTTTATTGGAGAAAGCAGTAAAAAAAAAGAGGAGGGGGAGGGAGGGGTAACATTTAATGAATGACATCCAGCAAAGGGCACTGTGGCAAAGTTCCTAAAGGAGTGAACTGACACAGAAGTACTTAAGTGGCAGCTATGATAAGTTAAAAAGATAACTGTTTGCATATTTAGATGATAAGGAAAGGAGCTTCAATGCTCTCCTTGTTATCACCTTTTGCATAATGTTACAGCGGACCATCCTTTACATAAGGAAAGGAGATAATGCTGTCCCACAGTTCCTTGTCACAACATTCAAAGTGACATTATCATTGGGCAGCAGAGTTGGGTGTAACGCGTTACAAAGTAACGCGTTGCTGTAATAATACTACGTGTGTCGGCACCGGAGTAGTGTAACGCGTTTCCGCCGCAGGTTTACAGTCGATGGTTTATATACATGTAGGCCTATGTAATCTGCGCGATTTGCGAGACCACATCTCCACGTGCAGTGCTGCATAAACATGGCTGAGTCTTTTCATCTGTAAACTCCCTCAATGGGGCCGCTCGCTCTCTTTTGTTGATCGCCCTCTCATGGGTGAACAGTTCAATGTCCCGCTTCATTGTAGGAATTCTGCCATGTCTCTACCACTTTAGTTTGACCATCTCTGTTACTAAGTTATGGAATACTAAATAAATAAGTAATTAGACACCTTACCATTACTGCGCTCATAAAGAATGATAAGAATAATGCGTCTTGAACTGGTTTCATTAATTAGTGTCTTGACGTTTCACAGACTGTTAGCTTGTTGTGGTAGGCTCAGTGACGTGCGGTGAGGTTCATGGCTGGTGAGGCACTGACTCTTTCAGAGTCAGATTTACAAATATTATATTTTGACCTTAATCGAAATATTCGGTTATTTTCAAAAGCTTTTTTAGTCTGATGCTTCAATTCATTTTAAACAGACCGTTCAACAAAAGGATACCCACAATCTAAATATGGGATTGTTCTTTCTTAGTAAGATTCCATTTGCATTACAATTGTGGTCTTACCTTGACTTGAAGATGAAGTCCATGCTATCCTTCTGGACAACAATCTCTATTACTTTTTTGTAAAAGTCCTCCTTATCTTCCTCTAGTTTCAAAAGTCTAGTTTGTTGTTCGCGTCTACCGTCTCTGCGTAGATTAACAGTAGCAACAAGAACCTGTGGGCTCACTTGCGCCCCCTTCAGTGCGGCAGAGGTTATGGCTGCCTCCCCTGGTGCTTTTTTCATTGCCGTTGTATGATGAGACCAGCGGGCCTAAATATCATATACGTGAAATAAGTTATTTAGAGACTATGGATGGCGAGGATAAATGTAATAAAGGGATCTACAAACATTACATTGGTGACATACAGTGAGATGGTGCAGGCATGCGCTTAGGGCCCGCTTTCCAGCAAGTTACTGTGGGTTTACGAGAGGCTGAGCTCGTCCCTGCCTCACTTCTTATCGCTACCCGTAGTTGTAGCGGAGCTCGGCTGATTTTGACTATAAAAAGCGATTGGAATCATACAGAAATCACACTTACAACACAGATCAGTGAAGACATTTTATTATTATTACTATTTAGTTTTTCTTTAGTTGTTTTTCCGTTACATTGGAGTATGACAGGTGAGGCTCTGCCTCCCCTGCCTCCCCTGACTGCACGTCGCTGGGTAGGCTGGTAGCCTATTGTATAGCATATAAAAAGAAAGACTTGTGTTATGTCTTCCTTAATGTAATAGTAATTGGGGGTGCAAGTGGAGTCTCGCAGAGGCAAAACTGTGGCGTGCTTCACTGTAGATGCGCCACAGTCTGCGTGATCTGCCTGTAGGTAGGGGCGGGCCGGCCCTGCGAGTAAAGTAACGAGTAAAGTAACGAGTTACTTTATGTAGAGAGTAACGAAGTAGTGTAATATATTACTTTTTTTTAAAAAGTAATATATTATATTGTATAATATATGTAATATATTACTTTTTTTTAGTAACGACCCCATCTCTGTTGGGCAGTCTACAGAAACAACTGATTATGACCAACCAATCTATCATGAAGTTACAGTGCTTAATAAACATTCTGCATATTATGCCATCTTGGCAAAGTGCTTATGATTTTAACTTTCAACACTATGATACATTAAGAGGAGAATGTTGTGCTAATTACTTATTGGCACTCATGTGGATTCATTTGATTAATTCATATATATATTGACATATATCATTAAAACTCATAAGGAATATCCGCTAATGCATCATGGTTACGTTGCCAAGTGTAAGTGCAATCAGATTTTTAAACACTCAGGTAAAGACATAGAACCTGAATTTGCTTACAATTCGACCACAACCTCAGCCTTAGTATTTGGAATTCCCACCTTACCAGATGAGCTACAATGGTGCCATCTTAGACTCCTTGTTGACTCACATGGATACACTGACTTAGAATTAGGGTTTATAGGGTTATAAAATATGTAAATAGAAACAAAATGTTCTTTGTAATTGTTTGTTGTTATTCTCTTGTTTTAGGTCTTGCCAGTGTGGTCACATCCCTGTATCTGTGTCTCTATTACAACGTCATCAATGCATGGAGTTTCTGGTACCTCTTTCATTCATTTCAAGTGAGGTGCTAAATGACTAACTAATGTCATTTTTCAGTAGATGATACTATTAAGAAACATAATGTTTGATCTCCTTTGGACAGTAAAGTATCACACTGACATTGTTCCATGTTTACACTTATTTCAGTCCGTCCTTCCTTGGTCAGTTTGCCCCATGAATTCTAACCGGACAGGACCAATAGAGGAGTGTGAAATTGCTACACCCACCCAGTACTTCTTCTACAGGGAAACACTGAACATCTCTCCTTCTATTGAAGAGCACGGAGGCGTTAGTACAGGCCAGGCAATGTGCCTTGTGCTGGCCTGGATTCTAACCTACCTGTTCATTGTGCGAGGAGTAAAGTCAACTGGAAAGGTGAGAGAGATCTAAGTTGCTCAAACATAAACAGTGATTGATAGGCATTCTTCATTGTCCATGGTTGGTTCTAGTCGGTGACAAGTGGAACTGACAACTACAAATATAAATAAAAACAAGTACTGGGCATATACTGTATTGCATTTTAAAAACGATTTTTATGTATACATTTTTTTGAAGACAGTGCATGTATTCATTGTATAACATTATTTGTTTCAATAATCAAGTCGCAGCCAAAGCATTATCCTGATGATATAAGTGGAAGTCAACATTAGAGACATAATAATTCTAATGCCTTTTTTATAATTTAGTACATTTAAGAAAATCCATGTATCAACATGATTTACCGTTAAAATAAACTACATTTATTAGATAAACGCAGTCAACGGTTAGTTTAGCATCAAATCCCTATGAGGACTTAAATTATAATGCCAAGTGATGCTCAACCTTCTCAGAACTATGACAATAACTATATCTGCAACTAAATCACTTAAAAGAAGAACATAGTTCATGCAATCATTCGCAATCACAAGAACAAAGAATTGTCTTGTTACATGGAGACTAAACTGGAAATGGCATTTAAAAGTGGTGAAGCATGCAAAGATGTATCTGTTGACTAGAGTGATGATGATGGGTGATGAACTTTTCCCACATTCCAGCCCAATCAACCTCAGTCACTCCCCTAATGAATTCTGCAGCTAACTTTGCTCTCTGGCTCCTTCTGTAGGTGGTGTACTTCACCTCCATATTTCCATATGTGGTCCTCTTCATCTACCTGATACGGGGCATCACTCTTCACGGGGCCATCAATGGTGTCAAATACATGTTCACACCAAATGTAAGGTTCAGTTGTAACAGTCTGTTTCTCTCTCGACCTGCTGCCCCTCAATACTTTTCCACTCAAACCACCTTCACCTGACCCCACAGACCTGCCACTCCAACCTCAACAGCTCCCCTGAGCTCCCAGCTGCATCTCATCCCCAAGCAGGCCGTTATTTAAGCCTCTCGTGCTCAGCCAGTCATTGCCAGATTATTTTCCACCAAGGCAAGACTCCCGAGCATTTTGTTCCGGATTAAATTCCTGTTGCAGACTATGCCTGCTTCTGACCTGCCTGTTTCCGGAAGGAATCAGATGAAATAGCCTTCAGTCCCCCACCTTGGGATCTCTCTCGGAGTCCTTGGTTACTGTCTGCCTGAAGCTGCTTGGTGTTTTCCATCTGACAACGTTTACCTACCTCCTGGTTTCCTGATCCGCTGCCTTGCCTAAAACTACCTTCTGCCTGTCCTCTACTGTTTTGTCTGCCTGGACTTTGTACTTGCCTGAGTTGATTAAGTGGCTGTAAAGCTGGCTATGGAGTAGCTTGGCCACTGACTTGAGGAAACCAAGCTTCTCTTTTTTGTCTGGACTGATCCCCAAGTTCCTCCAACTCGCCAAAATACTGAACTCTCGGCAAGCCGAAGCCAACAGGATCGAGCGTACCATGGAATTCTGCAGCGGAGGTTTGGGTGAGCCACTCTGGAGGAGAACATGCTGGAGCTTGTCAATGCCTGTCCTAGTGCCACTAGCACAAACCAACCTACCAGTCTCCCGATGGCCTTCTGCTACCTCTGCCTGTGCCTATTGTCCCTGGTCCCACATCTTTCCAACTTCTTACGGGCCTGCCATCGTCCAATGGATACACCACAATCCTGACGGTGGAAGATTGGTTCACCAAGGTGGTCCACTTGACACCCCTGCACAACTCCAATCAACCAGAGAGAGCAAGATTGGCCCTGCATCACTTCTAATGGCTTGTGGTCTCCCTAAATATGTTCACGTCAGTATTTTGGAGGAAGTACTTTGTACTCTTATCACCAGTTTTGCTTCTGGGTTTCATCCCAAGTCCAATTGCCAACCCGAAGGGAAGAATTGGGAGATGGACGATGAACAGAGAGCTCTAAGATGCATGGTCTCCAAACACCATCGTCCCGGTCCAAGCAACTCATGTGGGTCAAACCGAACCACAACCTGTGTGCTACATTTGGGTCCAAACAAAACCTGTTACAAAATGTTGCAATAGGAATACAAACATATGTGGGTGCGTTGCTTTACAGCAGGGGTTTCATCGTGGGCCACATTAGCCTTATGGTTGCCCTCAAAGGGCCAATGGTACATTGAAGACTTTATAAATATTTCTACTCTCTATAATATTACAAAATTGCCTCTGCATTCAATTATTCCTAAAGTCATAATTTGAACTACCTCTAAATAAGGAATTGAGGGGAAATAATTGCTAGCAGATATCCAAGTGTACAACAATTGTACAAATTATTTTAAAATATAATTATATTTTGCATCGATAGAATTGACACAAAAAAATCGGATGGCACACACACTCACATTTATCTGTGTAATTATAACATACTGTAAGTCAAATGCTTTTCTGAGACTAACAAACCCTTATCATATTTGATCAATCAAAGATAAACCTTTTTAAGTGAATAATTTGCTAAAGCAATTGTTTTAACATTATACAAACATTTTCAAGCACAATTTAAGTGCTGTATTTATCATCTGTATTTGACGATAATCATTTAGTCGTCTGAAACCTGTAGCCAAGGCTTTGTTTTTATTTAAAACAACGTATTACTATCAGCATGTCATTCATTATATGAAGTTGTCATCCTGCCTTTACAAGCTTACAAGAATATATTAATCGTCTGAATTGGGCAGGAGTTGCACATTGTAGGCCAAGAATGTTTTATTAAAAGCCAAAAACTAAAATAACCAGCACAAGTTTTTGGCATAATTCCACGTTAATCGCTGAATGCACCAGAGCAACATCCGACTGGTTTCGTCGAAAATTCTGGCTGCCTTTTGTTGCTTTCATGAAGGCTAAGGTTAGCAGTGCGGATGTGCCGTCATAGATTTGTTGCTGCCTTATGGCAGCGGCACACTGCCTGGACTGCGCTGCTAGAAAACACTTCAACCGTTATTATGCCTATGTTTGTCTAATGTGTCAATTCTTACAATTGAATGTGTAACTTTGTGTGCTCATGTGTGCTTTTTGCATTTTGTTGTGTGCGTTTGTATGTTTCTAAACCTGTGCCCACATGCGTTTGTCTTGTTTCAGCTGGAACAGCTTCTCAACCCGACTACATGGATCAATGCGGCCACTCAGATCTTTTTCTCACTCGGTCTGGGTTTTGGGACGCTCATAGCTTTTGCCAGCTACAACCATTACAACAACAATTTTGAGCGCCAAGCCATCATTGTTGCCCTGATCAACTGTGGAACCTCCATCTTTGCCAGCATCGTCACCTTTGCTATCTATGGGTTCAAGGCCACCGTCAACTACGAGAACTGCCTGGAGAGGTGTGTGTGTGTGTTTTGTGCTAATGAATTCATGATAGTGCAACCTTATCCTATATGCTCTTCTTCCGAAGACTGAATTCTTATTTAAATGATCACAGTTTTTATAAGGTGTAGTCCTTAAAACAGATGAAGTAATTATTTTAAGTGACTATCCATGTTGACGTTTATAGCCCTAGTGCTGCAAAATCCACTCAATGTTTAAACCACACCCTCGACCTTGTTTTGGGATAAGATATTATTATATCAAGTCTTTTTTTTCTGCCACTTTGGATTAAGTCCCATATAGTGGTGCAGGAATTAATCCTAAATTAGTTCGCATTTAAGAGTTTGCTTTGTCTTAAAGCTAATGTTTTTTGATTTTGTTTGTGGTTAGACGCCTGAAATAAGGTCTGTTGTTAACACAAGTTGAAGATACTTTCACGTTTTGTTTACGACATAAAATACATCAGTAAATAACCCACTGGTAGACGTCTGAAGCTTATATATGTTATTAAAAAGGCGGTTGCTAATAAGTGGCTAAAAAGCTGACCATAAACCACCTTAATCCACCTCTTTTTCTCTTCTTGCAGGACACGCTTACTGCTGCTGAATACTTTTGATCTAGCAGAGGACAGCATGAGCATCGACCAGGTCTTTGACTGGATTGAGAAGCTGAACGCAACATATCCACTGCAGTTTGCTGAAATCACCAACCAACTGGAACACTGTAACCTGGAGAGTGAACTAGACACTGTATGTTCCTCATCATTTCAATATGTATAATTATTTACATGATGCCAATACGATTGGTTCACATGACCTAGTACCCGTATTATAAACTCATATTTCAGTGATTTAAAGATTCCAGGGGCAAAAACACAAAAGGATTGTGTTGCCCTTGTGGTCGCTAAATCTGCAAAACTGAGAAACAAAGCTAGTTTAATTCTAGCTAGCTGCGCTGCCACAAATAATATGTCACTGCTTAATAATTTCACAAATGGATGATTGAATAACTGATCATTTTACAACAAGTAAATTGCAACCAGCTTTGCTGTTTTTTTTAACTGCTTATATCATTTTTATGGTCAACATATTTTGTCACTCTGACTTTGATATGAAGCAGACAGTGGTTGCAAGTGTAAGAAGGGCTATGAGCGATCCAATGTCTTTGTATTGGCGAGTAAAAAAAAAAAAAAGGTCTTCCGTGGTGAGGAACAAATCTTAACAATATATTTTATGGAAAAGGCATTTCATCCATCCACTAACGATAATATTTTGTAGCAATCTGAAATAATAAACTAAGAGCCATGTAGTACTGTACTTTGCAGTTGAGACAACAAGATAAGGTAAATACAGTAGCACCTTTTACCAGACCGGTATGATATGCAGCCAAAAATCTGATGTGTTTCCACTGATGACTGCTTACTCTCCCTCAAGACCTCTTCACCTGTTCTTCCATCCTAGTAATAAACACTCGTTCTCCCACTTTCCTTTGTTCCAGGCAGTGGAGGGGACAGGGCTGGCCTTCATTGTGTACAGTGAGGCCATTAAGAACATGCCGTTACCCCAGCTGTGGTCAGTGCTGTACTTCTTCATGCTGCTGCTGTTGGGGATGGGCAGCATGTTGGGCAACGTCACCGCCATCATCACCCCGCTGCGAGACTTCAAGCTCGTGTCTCACCTGAGCGACGAGCTGCTCAACGGTAAGATCCAGGCCAATGGGACAGGTGGAAGACTTTCATAAAGTCCCAATAAGCTGTTTCATTATTGGTGCTTTTCAGTGCCGGAGTGAGTCCTCAGATCTTGTTACTTTAATTTAATTCTAGTGATAATGTTAGGTGCAAAACCGCTGAAAGATGATGGATATTATATTATTGGCTGCGATTGCCCAGAATGCAAGCACAATTCCCATTCCCTATACAGTATATATATATATATATATATATATTATATCATGTGTAGATTAATCTGTATGTGGCCTGAGAGGTAACACCCAGGGCAAAACACCCGCTCATTAAACTTCTTGAGTGCAGTGATAACAACAATCTCATCTTAAGTGTTGATATGCTTGTCTGAGTTGCCTTACTCATGCAGGTATTTCAACTCTCCTTTTTCAGGGCATTTCGGGCACACTATTAAAAAATATGATGACGGATCCTGAACAATGTGAAACAATTATAGCGGAATATACCTAGCTCTCATCTCAGCTCTCCTGTTACATCAATTCCTATAGTGTACAAGACATGTCTTCTGCATTATGGTATGTGTTGCTATGCAGCAAATGTTACATTTGAAATGATTAAGCATCAGCGCTGTGTTTTCCTTCAGGTTTGGTGTGTGTGTTTTGTATGCTGCTCGGCCTGGGCTTCACCACCACGTCAGGGAATTACTGGTTCACCATGTTTAACGACTATGGAGCCAATTTCTCCCTGCTCTTCATCGTCCTCATCGAGGTCATAGCTGTCAGTTACATATATGGCATTAAAAGGTTTGTGTATGGTAGTGCTTTCAATTGTGTATGCCTTCAAGTCAGCTTTTGTTAAGGCTCAACTTGATTTTAAAACGTTATCTTGTCATTTAAGGTTTGAGAAAGACATAGAAGACATGATAGGTCATCGTCCCAACTGGTACTGGAAGATCATGTGGGCAGGAGTCAGTCCCGTTGTTCTTATCACTCTCTTCATCGTCTACATTGTCAACTACATCAGAGGAGGGACGCCCACCTACCAAGCATGGAACAAAGAGCTGGTGAGGCACATGCATCCTTTCTCATCATTTATCAAAGGTTGCTTGTTCGGTAGGGACTTCTTGGTTAGAAAAAGAAAGAAAGGTATCCACTAGTGGTGTAACGATTTTGGAATCTGGTCATTAGAATCAGAAGCGCGCTAGATGATTCTCGCTGATTCACCATTTATTCTCTCTGTCTGCACCCTGCATAATACGAAGGAAAAAACATCAAACACAGCGAAACAAACTTTTACAGCTGTTACCTACTTTTTATTAATTTATTTGTGTATTTTTATGTCAAACTGTTTGTTCCCAGGTCAAATATGTAGACACGTGATCAAATCCCATCCAAGCCAACTTTGACAATATATAAAAATCTTTAATCTCCATATATAAGAATTTGTATATTGTAACCCTTAATACACAGCTATATGACCTGAAATTAAACATATTTTTCAAATCTTACTTTCGATTTCTAATAGAAACACAGCAATTACATTTTCAAGTAATGAGGTGTTTTGAGGGCGATTGTGGCTGCGAAGGAGTGCGATCATCTTTCAACCAGAAGGTTGTGGGCTCGATCCCAGCCTGTGCAGGCAACGTGTCCGATGTGGTGTGTGGCAATGGTGTGTGAATATTAGTTCCTAGAGCAAGGCACACTGCTCTGTATGAATGGGTGTGAATGGGTGAATGACATGTAGTATGTGAAGCTACAAAGCAACGCTTTTAGGGGTCGAAATTACTTGATAAGGCTATAATAAGTGCAGACCATTTAAATCCAATATTCTTTTTTCAAACATTTCATTTTTTTTAAATGACTGCATTTTTTTAAAGTATTAAGCAATTTTCCAGAGAGAATAAGGTGATTTAAAAATTGTTGTCAATTGTAGTCATTTTGAAATTGTTCGGAAATGTGTCCCCAAAAGGAATTCTGTCAGTTTTTAAAAAATGTACTTCATTTTTTAAACATGAAAGGGTTTCAAAAAAAAGTTTGTAATTTTTCATAGAATAGTTTTTCAGAAATAAGGTTGTCTCATCAAACTGCCTCAGCTTAGTTCTGCTAAACTTCCTGAGTAATGCTTAACATCTGAAGACAAGTGTTAAACGTTACTGTTATTTTTCAGGGTAAATCGGTGGCGACGGACTATCCTGTCTTTGGTCAAGTGTTCATCGGCCTGCTAATGATGTCGTCCGTCAGCTGTGTTCCCCTCACAGCTCTGTATGTGTTCTGCAGGAAGAGGAAACGTGGAAACCAGCCCAAGAGGCGTGCCGTCAGCACAGTATCTACTTAACCTCTAGCACCACCTCCCTTCCTTTCCTAGACACTAAATCTCTGTCCTTCAGCTGAACGCAGCAATGATGTTTAATTTTATGGTGTTGGGTATTTTAAGGTGGATTTTTTTTACTTAAAGTCAGACTTGTGAGCCTGATTCCAATCCATGCTCTTCCATACTGTGCAGTGCAACTATGCAACATGGTACAAGTGTAGATAAAGTTTTATTATGCTAAACATTTAGAGCATGTGTAAATGTATAAAGTCATGTAGCTTATTCAATGGGTTATGATATGTAGTGTTTTAGATAGTCAGTAGTTTTTTCATCAGTGTTGGTTCATAGTCATAGTTCATGTTAGTTCATAGTCAGCCTCAATACTAATTCCTCTTATTGATGGAGTAAGCTAGTTTAGGGGCAAATCAGGTTTATTTGAAAAGATTTAAAATCACAAATAAAATGTTAGTTCAGCAATAGGATTACAGAAGCTGCAGCATTACGAGTAGACCTTGTTTTGGCAATTTCCTCTGTTTCAGGATATTTTTAAGTGACAGTATTTTGAATCAGGAGGAAAAGGAGCCATCTACACGACCTAAACAAAACTTTTTATTCCCAAAGATTCAAGATTGAATAGGCCCTATTATGCTTTTAGGGGGTTTCCCTTTCATGTGGTGTGTTATTTAGGTTTTATGCATGTACATGTTCTGCAGAGGCCATCACATTAGAGGCACTTAATACAAATATGAACCTGAATATGAGCATAATATGTCCTCTTTAAACAACTTAATGTAGTTTTGGAAACTGCACAAACATCACACAACTAGTTTTAATAAAATAATATGTTAGACTCAATTATAAAGTGTAAAACTTTACAGCAGTTATGTCATAATAGAGTGTATTGTCTCCTTTAAGCAGATTATGTTATATATGTATTCTTTGGTAAGAAGGTTGTACAAATGACATATGTTTCCTTTATATTACGTTTTTTATTGGATCTACTTTTATATCTGCTTTGAAAAGGCTGGCATCTGCTACATGTATGTACCTTATCTATAAGAGATGTGTTTAAACAGAGAGCACATGAAGTCAATTGTCAATATATAATTTTAATATTGTCTTCAAGCCTTCAAATGTTTGAAATGTGTACATACTGTAGATAGTTGTGTCATCTAATGGGCGAATGATAAGAATATTCCATTATGTGATTTTGTTCTGTGCCAATAGCTTAATGAGACGTAAGTAACTACCACAGAGAATGAACTGCCATTAAAGAATAGATGTGTCAAGAACATCTCAAGTAGTATTCATTTTGCTATCGTCTTATTGCCATGTATTTCAGTTTGTGTACTGTATGTTTATTATGGCTATCTATTTATTTATCTATAAATCAAGCTAGCTAACGTGTTCTATCAATCTACCTAGTAAACTATATTACCTTAGATACCCATCTAATAAGCTAGCTAGCAAATGTTAGCTATCGCCAAATGTGTGGCTCTCATGAATACAATTGGAATTATTATTTAACACCCTATATGGTTAGATTTGCGGACCTGTATCTACCATTCAGGCAGTGGGAGTCATTTAAAAAACATTGTTTAAGTCTTTTTTTTAAAGCAGACAAGGAACTCTTATAGACTACAGCCAGTGGCTCCTCGCAGCTCCATACATCCCTGTTTATTCTGAATTAAATGTTTCTTTACTTCTTTTCTGTTATTACTTAATAACAGGTCATTCAAAAGCAGTGGCGAGCCGTGACTTTTATACCTAGGAGTTTTTGTTGTACTCCACAGCATGACGGAAGCCTGCTGGAGAGGGCCTGAGCTTCTTTCTCCAAGACACCCACTGCGTTGGGGAGCTGCATGAGGGAGGAACCAGTCTTGGTCCTAAATAGTTCCTCAATTTGGTGAATGAAGTCAAAGGCTTCTTGGGAGGGACGACAAAGAGCACCTGCCTTGAAGTCTTTCAAGTCTACTAACAAGCTGTTGTCACCAGAAGGGCTCTCATCATGGTGCTCTGTTGCAATTTTGCATTTTTCACAGATGCTGGCAAACTTGATGATTTTGTGGACGATGTAGCCTGCAAGATGGAAGAGAATACATTTCTCAGTTTTTGTGAGGTCAGGTGCTGCTGCTCTGTTCACCGCCATCAGCTGTTCCACTCTGACTGATGGAGTGATTTTTGGCTCCCCTGTGTCCAGGAAGTCTGCCAAAAAGCTACTGTGGTCTTCCTGGTAGCTCCCAGAGCTGATGGTGGTGAGGAACTGCCCCACAGATATGATTCTCAGTGCATGATGGAATTCCACTGGAGTTGGGACAGGATTTTTAGACCTCACACAGCTGAATGTATTTTCAAGGCAGTCTTGTGTGAACCTTGACGTTAACACAAACCTGTGTCCTTGTGTAAGCATCTCCTCTTGTATGGACAAAATTGATGTTGTTGCCATTATCACCCCTGTTTGAACAGGCTTCCAACCTCCCTTTTGACCTATCTTTATCCCACGAAACAGATGGACGATGTTCTGGAGGAAGGTGATGGCCTTTTGGTACTCCTCCATCTTGAGCCTGCTCAGGGCTGTAATTGGATGGCGAGATGACATCAGATCAAACCAACGATCAACCTGCTCCAGGAACCACGCTGTCGTCAGGTATGACAGAGGGCGGTTTTCTTGCTGCACCATGTATTTCAGCCCAGCACTTGTAGCCTTACTGAACACATTTAGAGCAAGACCAACCTTCATCTTATCAAAGTGACTTGGCTCGATGGCTGCAGCTGAAAGATGGGGAGCTATTTTTAAGGCCATCCCTTCCTGAAAGGTCAATAAGTCCTTAATGGGGACCACAGAAACCTCGTTAGAGGGGAGGTTCTCTCTGTTAACAACATCCTCAGGAATTATGAAGACCTGCCCACGGACAAGGGCACTTTTTAAATTTTTTACCAGATGTGGGACATCGGGCATGAAATAGAGCTGCCTGTCTGGTTTTGCTGGATGTGGCACCGATGTTTTATTTTGGTCCACCCCAAAGGATTTCCACATGGCTCGGCTAGGGCTACCCATGTCGGTGGTGACATCAAGCACATGTAGCCCTATGGATGCTGCCCTCTGTATTATCTCAATAATGATTGGCCTGTACTCTGCTCCATTGGTAGAATTGCCAGTGTAATGATATGCCACTACTTGCTTCCACCGTGTTGTGTTTCCAGCCAACATAAACACACAAGCATGTGTTGCCACCCCTGTGTGACCTGGTAAAGTCACATCACCGTACAGTTTGCCTGTAATCATGTCTAACTCCACACTTGGTGTGATTGCCATTTCATCCAAGGTCAACACACACTCCCTTTCAAGGTCTGGCAATCTATCTGCCTTCAATTTTAGGAAATCAAAGACCTCTGTCAACACACCAGGCTCAAACTTAACACATTGCATCCTTCTTTGCAGTGTCCTTATTCCTGGAAGGGGAATCTTCAATTCCTGCAGAGTTTTGTAACCCGTTGGTCCGCTCGCAAAGCGAATTTTTAAAGCCTTCTTAATTGTCTCATTGCTCCATTTCATCCCCTTTGTGGTGAGTCTGCCTAATGCCTTCAGTTGGTCTTTTGAAAACGTTTTCTTATATTTCTTGTACCTAATTTTCATTGTTTTCTTGAGAGCTGCATTTTCCTTCCTGATTTTTCTTAGTGCAGCCTTTGCTTTTTTGGTGATTCCTTCTTGGCTCTTTAATTTTCTCTTTAATTGTTGTAATAGATCTGTTTGAATGGCTGCTGGTTCCCTCGTATGCTGACTGGCTGCTGGCTGAGTGGGTGGTGTCCGCCCTCCCTGTCTCTCCTCACTAGCCATGTCCTCTCTTTCTTCACCCTCACTTTCCTTTCTCTCAGTCTCCTCATCCCTTCTTCCCTCAATCTTTGAGACTAATGTAAGTAGAAGACATGGCACTGTACATTTCCGAACATTTTAAATATTATACCACTTAAAAATAACATATTACTTTTGTTACTAAGAGTTCATACTTATTATACCTGTGTCACCTTTCACACTATAGCTGTGATCATGAGCTATGGGCTTTGTAGATACAGGTCCCGGGGTGAATCGTGGTGCAGGGGCCCTTCTCTTTTTGACCACAGGGCGATGCACGAAGATGGTGGGTATAGCCTCTGCTCTCAGCCTAGTCTTGCCCTTTTTTGTCTTGACAAACTGGTCTGCATCAAAATGTGCCTGCGGAGTGACTTGAGGTTACTTCACACACAGAACAACTGTGTCTGAATCTTGTCTGCCCACATACATATTCCATAGTGGTTGAATACACAGTATTAGGAAACACTTTATACTTACTGGACATGTTATACTCATTACATACTGTATATAAAATATGACCAAGAATGTGAGACAACTTTATAGAAATTCATATCACATCTGTTACTGATGCCATTTGTCATACTTTGTTAAACTCACAAATAATAAAGTTCCATAACTTCAGTTGGGAACAAAGACCACACCTTATCTCCCCAAGGCAATTTCCCATCCAATAGGTGTGCTATATAGGTGTGTTATATAGGTGTGTATAACCCTTTCTCCTGTCTGTTACTCCCTCTTTCAGCACAATAACCAGAGGGGGATTCAATGGAGCCTGAATACCTGCACTGAGACCCTCACCCTGCACCCTGAGTCTCAACTCTCAGTGTTTTTCAAGCCTTTCCCTGTTTTTTGTATTAAACAAAACATTAAGCTTTCCCAATGGTGTGGTTTTCGTTTTGTGAAAAAGTGCAAATGCAGTGTTTGTATATAATTACCTCACATATTTTTTTGCTGTTGGTTGTGAAATTGCTCCTGCTTCCTCCGCTCTGTGTCAGTGGGGAAGCTGTACATTCGTACTCCTTTCTCGGAGCGATTTGAGCATCCCCAGGCAGCACAGCAAACCATGGTGGCGACTGGGAGGCAGCACAGCAAACCAGGACAACAAGGAGGAAAAGGCACAGACAAACTGCATGATATGTTTATTGAATTCCATGTATTTGCAATGGATATTCCTAAAACAACACATTTAACATCATCATCATCATCATCATGCTGCTGCTGCTAGTCCTTTGATAGTCACCTGTCGGTCTCCTGTCCTTTCTGAAAGCCATAAAGATGACATTAGTCATTTAGATAACTTGTGTCCTCAATTACCATGGGATTACTGAAACTACCATGCATTTAAGAAAATGGTAGACATTAATCTAATCTGAATTTTAAAGCATTACTTTAGATCCCCTCCCTCTAAATATATCAATAAACATTAGAAAGTGATGCTCCTGACTACCATACAGGTTTAAGAAGATAATATTGGTTTTAAAGAATTCAAAGCTATAAATAAACAGCAACAGGCTCTTTAACCAAGGCACTGTTAGCCTACCATGTAAACTAGTTGTTCACACTAATCCTAATATTATCACTTAATATTAGCAAATTCTATTTTTATTTTTTAAAACATATTGATGTAAATACATACACATATCGATTTGTTGTATAAATATTGCAAATCAAAACCTTTATTCACTAATAATCAGAGGTGGGACCAAGTCATTGTTTTGCAAGTCCGAGTCAAGTCTCAAGTCTTTGCGCTCAAGTCCGAGTCAAGTCTCAAGTCATTGTTTTGCAAGTCCAAGTCAAGTCTCAAGTCAGGATGGGCAAGTTCAAGTCAAGTCAAGTCCTAAACTTTGACAAAACGAGTCATAAACAAGTCATTATGTGTTTTTCACCAAATGTAATGACATCGATCAACAGAATAATACTTAATAATCAAATTGCTCTTTATTAGTCACATTAATAATTTAATAATCCATTTTCTCTCTGCTGGTAAAGTAACGTGTGTTTTTCTAATTTAAGAGGGATCAGTAAGGTAAGGCTACCGTGACGGTTTGATTCAGAAGGAGTTTAATGTATAAGATCCCTGATGTTGAGGTAACCAGAATGTTTATTTCTACTGTGTACAACATGTTGTAAGGGACCCACAATCTATCTTTATGCAAGGGATAATGTGCAGCGAGGCGTCTCTATGGGGACGAGAACACCTGAATCTAGATCCCTCTGCAGGTGGTACTTTAAGTATATGTGTGTGCTTGAGTGTGTGTGTGTGTGTGTGTGTGTTAGGGCTGTGCAATTAATCATATTTTAATCGCAATTACGATTTTGGCCTGCCACAATTACGAAAACAACATAATCGTAAAAAACGATTATTTTGCTTTGCTAGGTTGTGACAGTGCACCACAACATATTTGATCTAATTAATTTTTTAGTAATGTATCATTTATTTA